CTCTGTGTGTGTGTCTCTGTGTGTCTCTGTGTGTGTGTCTCTGTGTGTCTCTGTGTGTCTCTGTGTGTCTCTGTGTGTCTCTGTGTGTCTCTGTGTGTCTCTGTGTGTCTCTGTGTGTCTCTGTGTGTCTCTGTGTGTCTCTGTGTGTGTGTCTCTGTGTGTCTGTGTGTCTCTGCGTTCAGGAGGACGACCCCAGCTTTGCGTCTCAGAGACAGGTGTATGAAGACATCGGGGAGGAGATGCTGCTTCACGCCTTTGAAGGTCAGAGCTGCTGGTTCTGATCCAGGATCAGTTCTTATGATATTTATCGATGATGAATGACTCACGTTCTGGTGAATTAAAACTTTGTTTTTGTTCTTTGTTGTTTTTGTCATTGCTTTTGTTTGTTGTTGTTGTTGTTTGTTTGTTGTTGCTGTTATTTGTTGTTGTTGTTTGTTTGTTGTTGTTTGTTGTTGTTGTTGTTGTTGTCTCCAGGGTACAATGTGTGTATCTTTGCGTACGGTCAGACCGGAGCAGGAAAAAGTTACACCATGATGGGAAAACAGGAAGCAGGACAGGAAGGGATCATCCCTCAGGTGAGCGCCTGCATCACCTGGTGCTGGTCCGACCGGTACTGACCCGACTGATGAGTCTGTCTCTGTGTCTTCAGCTCTGTGAGGACCTGTTCCAGAGGACAGGACACAACTCAGATCCAGAACTGACCTACTCCGTGGAGGTAAGCTGTCCTCTGATCCGTCCTCTGATATGTCCTCTGGTCTGTCCTCTGGTCCGTCCTCTGATCCATCCTCTGATCCGTCTTCTGATTTGTCCTCTGCTCCGTCTCTGTCTCCTTCCCCACCAGGTGTCCTACATGGAGATCTACTGCGAGAGGGTCCGGGACCTGTTGAACCCGACCTCCCAGGGAAGCCTGAGGGTCCGGGAGCATCCCATCCTGGGGCCCTACGTGGAGGATCTGTCCAAGCTGGCTGTGACCGGGTTCACGGACATCCGGGAGCTGATGGACGAAGGAAACAAAGCTCGGTGAGCTGTCCCTCTGATGTGGACAGAATGAGACTCTGGAGGAGTCCAACATTGGAGGCAGCCATGGTGTCGTTAGGTCTTCTGTCGTGAGTTTTAGGTTTCGTCTCGTCCTCAGCTTTAGGAAAACCAGAGAAACCTCAAAGTAGCAGCTCAGCAGGAGCAGGTGGCAGAAGATGATGACATCTAAACAGACCTCTGAAAACTGAACATGTCCCCGTGGACACCAGCTGGACCTCTGGTCTGACCAATGTCTCCATTTAAAACTGGAGGAACTTTACAAACATTACACACTGTCTCCTCCTGTCTTCAGTCTTTATGTCTCTGTCCCCCACACTGTCTCCTCCTGTCTTCCGTTTTTCTGTCTCTGTCCCCCAGACTGTCTCCTCCTGTCTTCAGTTTTTCTGTCTCTGTCCCCCACACTGTCTCCTCCTGTCTTCAGTTTTTCTGTCTCTGTCCCCCACACTGTCTCCTCCTGTCTTCAGTCTTTCTGTCTCATGTCCCCAGACTGTCTCCTCCTGTCTTCAGTTTCTCTGTCTCATGTCCCCACACTGTCTCCTCCTGTCTTCAGTCTCTCTGTCTCTGTCCCTCCAGAGTGTCTCTGCTGGAGGTGTCCCTCAGAGGTCAGACTCCCCATGACTTCCATCGTGTCTGAGCTCAGAAGTTTCTCTCTGTAACTTCTCCTCCATCAAACAGAACCTGTGGTACCACCAGAACCTTCCTGTTTGTCTGAGGCTTACTTTTTACTCTGTGGTTCTGTGTGCTGCCCCTCCCCTTTTCATCACCATGGCAACCAGTGACCTAGCACCTTGTGGATCTTCTGTATTACCCAGCATGCTTTTCTTCCTCCGCCCCCACAGATCCTTCCTGTCTCTGATCGGACCTCTGATGTTTCAGTCAGAGGATCAACAGGAAGCAGGAAGAGAACTGAGCCTGGAGTTTCAGAATAAAGCTCATAAGAGCGTGCCTCAGTTTAGATTAACGCGTCTTCACACCTGACTGGTTGTTGACTGCAGGACGGTGGCGGCCACCAACATGAACGAGACGTCCTCCAGGTCCCACGCCGTCTTCACCATCGTCTTCACGCAGAGACGGAGAGACCAGCTGACCAGCCTGGACACTGAGAAGGTCAGGTTTTGTCCTCTGAAGACTCCGTCCCCTGTGTTCCCTGTCCTTCAGCTGACCTGTCCTCTGTGTCCTCAGGTCAGTAAGATCAGTCTGGTGGACCTGGCCGGGAGCGAGCGAGCAGATTCTTCAGGGGCCAAAGGGACCAGACTAAAGGTCAGAGGTCACTCACGGCAGGGCTCTCTAACCGGCTGCACACTGAGACACACGTGCACTGCTCACCTGCAATTATAGCATCAATAATCATCAATGATCACGTCCTGATAATGATCAATCATGATGGACCGTGGCAGGAGGAGACATCATGATCGATGGTGATTAGAAGTCGGAGCTGCCGTAGTTCACAGTTCTCGGTTTGAATCCCTTGGCTCGTGTGTTTGTCTCTCAGTCGTCCCTCACTGTGACTGGGAGAGTGGGCCTTTCTGTGTCTCTTAGTCTGTGTCCTTGGGATGGACTGGAGACATGTCCAGGGTGTCCCCTGCCTCCCCCCGAAGACAAACTCCAGCCCCCACCCTGCTAAGAACACGAAGAGTTACTGTAACACGATGATAAAACGTGAAGCACCGTCCATTCCATTTACACACTTCTTCCTTTTCGGGTCACAGGGACACCTGGACAGGTCTCTAGTCCATCACAGGGACACCTGGACAGGTCTCCAGTCCTTCACAGGGACACCTGGACAGGTCTCCAGTCCTTCACAGGGACACCTGGACAGGTCTCCAGTCCTTCACAGGGACACCTGGACAGGTCTCCAGTCCTTCACAGGGACACCTGGACAGGTCTCCAGTCCTTCACAGGGACACCTGGACAGGTCTCCAGTCCTTCACAGGGACACCTGGACAGGTCTCCAGTCCTTCA